TTTTTCTTCATCGTATTTCGTTTGGCATATGATCGATTGTACTCTTCCAATAAACATGCTTATTTAAGGCATGCGGTTCCTTGTGAATGAGAGATGAGGTAGTGGTAACAGTATTCTGCTAACGGTTAGTCGGCAGTCTTCCCTTTATTTGTGGTAAGACAGTATTTTGTATCTTTGAATTATTAGGCTGCTCGCCGTTTTTTGAACGCATTAAATCCGGTGGATCCGGTCACACAAACCGTCTTCTCAATTCCCTGCATTGGCGTTCGCATATGCGGTCACGAGGTTCGTCATTTACAATCGACTTACTTTCCTCATTGAATTATGCTCTGTATCTACTTTGCCTTTTCCACACCTTCAGCTCTTTGTGCAGGTGTCTGTTTTCAGGTGCATCCCCATATTACTCCCCACAGCCATCTCTTCACGTCCTAAACGTTTACTTCAAGCCAATCAGTCGGCGATTCTTTCATTGCCGTTTTCCATTTGGAGGTCACTTCGGTGTATCTTGTAGCTTCGGCATGGGTTATTCGTAATCCCATTTATAGCCTTCCCTTGTACTTCTCAGTTCTACTTGACCCTGTTAGTTTGCTCATTCATTCATCTTTAGCTTTGATTGGTAACATTCTCATTTAGTCTTGGTTCACTAACGTAAAGGCTTCTTAATGTTTTCCTTCAGCCTGCTCCTGCATGCAATCATTGCCTGCTTTTAATCCATCTTTCCATCCTCTGGCCAATGTATCGTCCTTCCTTCAAGCTTGCTATCTGTCTCACTTCATGCCCAACTTTACCCACCCTGTCACTTGATCCGTTCTTGCAAAAAAATATGATGATTTATGTTTTGGTGATTTTAGTTTTAATTAATGTATACGATGTATTCACCAAAGAGTTGGCTTTCTTCTTGTCTTAATCGATGCCGCATTTCCAAAGCCAGAACTTCTAGTTTTACTTTCATCACTTAAAGAATAGAGTAAAAACAATTCTTTTCTGTAACTTGCCGAAGTGCTTCATATCTATGGTATCGGTGGATCAGCCTTTAAATTTCCTGCCTTGGAATAATACGGGATAAAGTCTAGTCGGAGGTTGGGGCAATGAGATGCCCTCTCGTCTCCAGGTACCTTTAGTGCTACCCTATGTTTCAAGTACCACCATTCCGGAACATCTCTCCTTCACATAAACCTTGCCATATTTATTAACCAAATTGACAAACCTTTGTGCGATTCAAATGATCAAACTGGATTTGTTATCAGATTATGCCATAATCCCGCACGTGCGTCCCTTTCTGTGTTCCTTTTACAGTGAATTGCCATATGGATGGATTTAGTAAGTCCATTTGTGTCGCTCAGCAATGCTGACAAAATTGCTATGAATCCTGCTAAGAGTTGTCCTTTTCATCTTCCAGCTTAACTGTCAGCCAGCTGCGTTGAATTCGAATGATGAACCTTTCTGGGTTGATTTCAATCTGGTGCCAGAGCGTATAACCACCTACTGCGTGCTGTCATTGCGATCTGATTCAGTTTGCGATGTGAGCTGTTTTTTTTTCTTACCACTAATATTCCCACTGAAAGCATTTCTCACCGATCTCTTCTGATTTGCAGAGCGAGGAGGGTGAGCAGACCTGGGAAACCATTTCAATTCATCCGGATGTCATTGAGGAGGTTAACGTTAGTTGTAAGTTACATATATTGTCTCCTTTCTTTTGTGAAAAGATGTTTAAGAAAACTGACTGTGATCATTCGAATGCCGATGTGGCACAAAACTTTTCAAC